TGGCGGCGGCTCTTACTGGCGCCAAACGGCACCGGCGTCGAATACGAATGTCGTATTCAACGCCTATACAACCCCTACAGCTGAAGTTTGGTACCAATAAAGTTTGAATTCTGGGGAGGTCATAGTTGAGCAGTTCGCTTCTGGTTTCAAACTTCAGTGGGAACGTTCAGGCAAAAGTCATATAGACACCTCGCAAGTTGACTTTTTTCTGATTATTTTCCACTCTGCCCCTTATATTAGACGGGCTCTTTGAAGCAGCGTCACTGCGGCGCCCTTGTTGAAGGCGATTTTCGCCGAAACGTTAGTCTAACAAAACGTCTTATGCCGAGATTAATTGAAAGCCGGCCATGGAATGCCCTTGTTTTTGTTGAGGGCATTTTCTTATGTGGTCTTGAGGTCTGCCACCGCTTAGGCAGCGTTCTTCATTTCGCTTCGTTCCAGCGCAGTTATGTTTTTCTTCGCAGTTGTATTTAAACGCGGTGATTTTCCCGCATTTATCGCTGACCAACGATGATCTATCGCAGGCATAAGCTCATCTACTCTACAACTGAGGCGGCAATAAGGCCCTACTTGAACCGTATTTGGCCGTTTCGTCACATTTTCGCTCCACTTTCGCGCTAATTAGCTCCGCCACTTCCGTTTTCTGCACGAAACCAAATCATTGTGCCCACTGCCTTTGATCAATAACTCAGTTCCTCTCTGTTGGCACCAACCCTCTTCTAACAAACAACTAGAACATCCGTAACTTGAATTCGTATATCTCAGAAGTTTCGAGGTTTCAAGTAACCTCTACAGAACGGGCTTACAAAAAGAACACCATGAAGCGTTGGTAAAGAAATGAATTGATATTCCCTCGGGACACTCCTTTCATTCCTGATGTCTCCTGAGGGCATGTGGCAAAAGAATCACAATTCGCCGCGGCAGGGGGCGTCGCGTGCGACGTCGCGCCCGCTAATGACGACGATTTCAGGTGGTATTGGTCGAGAATAGACAATGTATGACCGAAGTTTCCACCATGTCTTTGCCTTCATGAGATCCGATGCTTTAGTCGAAAGGGTAGGGCAAATCAAGGAAACGTCGCGCCCATCCCTGCGCGCGATAAAGCGGCATTGTAAGATTCTCTTGCCCGTCTCCTGACTCCATCAAATGATGCACGTGAGATCGGCGGCGACCAAGGGGTCCCGTCATAAAAAATGTGCACTATAGCGGTAATGTCCAGAAATCCGAATGCTTACTGCTTTCAACCATTATAACAACAGTCTCTAGGAACATTAGCATGTGCGACTCAGCTGTGGGATTTTCGCAGCTGGGCTGACGCAAATACTGATTAAGAACTACAACAATGATTAATGGCTAGCTCTACCTTGTCGCGATGGTGGAGACAGAGAGGATGGTCTAGTCTTGCTCAAGGAGGGATATCTCACGGTTAGGAATATTCTATATTTGTTCTCCCATTTGCCTTGTCAAACTCTACGATGCGATTCTGATGGCGCGCCTCGAGTAAAGGCTTTTTCTGATGCTCTAATAATTTCTAATCGTTTCTCCAGCAACCGTGACTACCGTCCAACTACTTCCCGTTCCGCATTCAAAGCCAAAGCCGGCTAGTGAAAAAAGCCTACTGGTATAAGGTGAACCTTCAACATACCGTCGTCCAAAGTCAAACGAGAGAGGTTGATTGTAAGTGAGCAGGTTGCGAAGTTCCGCTGTGGCAATACTGGAAAACAAAAAACATTATAAAAGCCTGGCAAAGCATTTTAAACAAAGAAGTACAGAAGAGCAACCGTTGTGAAACCCGAGAAAGTGGAATTGATAACAACTGTACTAAGAAAAACTTTATAGCGAAAGTAAAACAATAGATTAAAGGCATGTCAGGTACAGGCGCTGCACACGCCCGTCCCATGGGCGGAGTCAGGCTCACTTATGCCTGCCTCTTGCTGTCATTGAAAGGACAGGTGTAGCAGTGAGGAAAGAAAATCAGTGACAAGCCTGGATCCAAATACACGGCTGAAGCTCATTGC